TGAGCCACCACACCCGGCCAATTTTTTGGATTTTTAGTAGAGATGGGGTTTCACCGTGTTAGCCAGGATGGTCTCGATCTCCTGACCTTGTGATCCACCCGCCTTGGCCTCCCAAAGTGCTGGGATTATAGGCGTGAGCCACCACGCCGGGTCCATGTCTGCATTCTTACCTTACCTGATTAAAACGAATCTCATCTGAAAACGAACTGATTCAGCAAATAAATCACTCATGTCAACAAACTGGTAACATTCTCACATATATAGTGCCAAAGTTGAGCTGTTTCAGGTAATTAACATAATTTGTATAAGGATTAGAAATATCTCTACAGTAGATCTCATTTCAGATTTAATGGCAATAAATTTGTTGGAGAGGCCGTGAGTTAGGATGCAACTCCGTTTGTCAAATCATGGTTGCATCACAACTGTAGGTTTGAGTACAGATAGACGATCTCATAAAAATCAACAAACGCATATAGGCTCTATGGAATAAAGAGTATTGTATATTTTGTTATTACTTGTGAATTCTGTGCTATAATGTACTTTATATCAGTAAAACTTATAATAAAGTGATATCAGCCGGGCGCAGTGGCTCACACCTGTAATCCCAGCACTTCAGGAGGCCAAGGTGGGTGGATCAAAGGTCAGGAGATCAAGACCATCCTGGCTAACACGGTGAAACCCCATCTCTACTAAAAATACAAAAAAATTAGCTGGGCGTGATAGTGGGCGCCTGTAGTCCCAGCTACTCAGGAGGCTGAGGCAGGAGAATGGCGTGAACACGGGGGGCGGAGCTTGCAGTGAGTCGAGATCGTGCCACTGCACTCCAGCCTGGGCAACAGAGTGAGACTCTGTCTCAAAAAAGAAGGAAAAAAAAAGTTATATCAGCATACTGATGCACCTTTTTTGTTTCTGGAGAGCCAGTTCTCACACGCTGAGCAGCACATCCTTCCCCGTGGGAGTGCTGCAGACATTTCCCAGCCCAGCACTCCACTCACTTGGCAGCATTCCGCTTCTGGGGATCCAGCTAGCTCTGTGGCCACAAACTTCCATAGCACTGTGCCGGGTTCCGAAGGGGTCCAGGCGCTGGCCAGATCAGTGGGAGTCGAGCAGCTGTAACCGTGAGAGACACAGCCCCTTGTTTTCCTTTCCCCATAACAGACAGTCCAAGTGAGAGAAGTGCCTGTGCATAGAAAGCTTATCAAACTTAATTTTAAATACTCAAAATTGAATTCCACGGAAAAGTCACTCCCAGAAACTTTTGCTGGTGTGATGTATGGCTGTACGTGCCAGAGTGGCTTTGCAGACAACGGAAACTGGGAAAATATCCAGAGGCTGCTTCTGAATGCTCACAGCCAGAAAAGTCCATTTGGTTCTAGGCTAGAGTGGGGAAATTGTGATGTGGCTGAAAGGAACAAGAGCGCCCCTCAGCCGGCAGGCGTGCGCTGGGGCTCTGAAGTGAAACTCCGACATAGGAATGGGCTGAACATACCAGCCCTGTGCTGGTGTAAATCCTTATGCGTCCCCTGCATCTCCTCCCAGTATCCCTGGCGAGTGGCTCCCTCGGAGAAGGCATGTGAGGACAGATTTTGCTCTTCTGGGATGTGTGGGGGATGACTGAGCCAGGGCTAAGCTGGCAAGTAAAGTGCAGCTTCTACGAACACTGCAGAATGGACACAGCTGGGGACTGCTCTGGGAAGGGAGGTGCCCTCCCTTCATCTGGGTGAGCAAACCCAGGGCTGTGAACAGGCTCTTCCCAGCAAGGGGTGCTGGCAGATAGTGGCCTAGAGGATGTCTCTATTTGTCCTCCTCAACTGCAGGGGACAGATGAGATCTGGGACACATTTATATGACGCTAACAGCCATGAGCTCAGCATTGCTCTTTTCTCTCCTGAGAAGTTTCTCCTTTTTAACTGTCTCTGGACGCCTGGGCTGCGAAAAGAAAATGCCTTTTATCCTCAAATTCTCCTTGCCTTTTCAGGGCTAGGTAGGTAAAGGCTTTTCAATTAGTAGACAGATAAATGGTGACTCTGACTTTCTTGCCTATAATCAAGAATCATTTCACTGGAAGGACCCTTTCTAGTATTCTGGTACAGAAATCCATAGAGCCTGACTTCTAATTTTCTAATTAAAACGTATTTATACCCTATATATTCATACTAATATTGAACAGTTCTGGTTTCCTTTTAACCACAACTGTGACCTCTCAGTTCCATTTCCTAAGTGCACCTACTGAAAATAAAGCAGTGTCTTTTTTGCCTGGCAGTGTTGTAAAAAATAGGCATTCTGTAAACACAAATTTTATGAATAGCATATACATATTCATCAAGCTCTTAGGATAATTTGCAAAGTTTATCACTTGTTTATTCCTACAATAAACTGAAATAAAAGGCACTGCTCAGAATGCACTTGAAACTACCTTAAGACAACTTATATGTATTTTTTTTGTCACTTTGTTGCCCAGGCTGGAGTGCAGTGCACAATCTCGGCTCACTGCAAGCTCCGTCTCCTGGGTTCACACCATTCTCCTGCCTCAGCCTCCCGAGTACCTCGGACTACAGGCGTCCGCCACCGCGCCCGGCTAATTTTTTTTTTTTTTTTTTTGTATTTTTAGTGGAGATGGAGTTTCACCGTGTTAGCCAGGATGGCCTCGAGCTCCTGACCTCGCGATCCGCCCACCTCGGCCTCCCAAAGTGGTGAGATTACAGGCCTGAGCCCGGCCTCAAAACATATTAATGCCTAGAAATATTTATGTCTTAAAACTTGAATAATTATTTTTCTCATGAACCAATGAACTCCAAGCCAGCCCTCTAATGAAGTTCTACTCTATTTTTATTTAATACTCATTTGAATGTTACGTTAAATTCGTATGTTCATAGCCACTAGTTGAAAAGATTGAAAATGCCAGTAAACTCATTGACAATATAAAGCGTAAAAGTAATTGTGTCACGCAGGCTCATGAACTACCGTGCATTTTAAAAGCTGAAGCGCTCAATTCAAGTGTCCTTTACCTGAGGTGCTCGCTCATTCCGCATGGCCAAGCCTGTGTGGTGCGGCCCGGCCGGGCGTGCTCAGCTCGCGGCGCCCGTCGCCCTGGACGGGCTGTGGAAGCGGCCTGAGAAGCGGCGCTGGGGAGACGGGGGAGGCTGCCTGGGGCTCTGTAGGCTGAACTCTGCCTGCCTCGCCTTGCGGTGGGTTCCGCAGCAGACGCGCCCCCCTTAAGGGAGATGTTGTGAAAGGAAGGTGCTAACTGTCGGGGGAAGGAGGCGGTGCCAGGCTTTCTGGCTCCAGCTTTGGCTCCTTATCGCTGTTGTCCTGCTGTCTCTACCTACAGGTCCCAGCCGGGCTGGGGACACACGGATCTGGATCTGGATCCCAGATCCAAGGATCTGGAGCCAAAGGCGCTTTCATGAAAATGTTTATTACCCCGTAAAAATATCCACCCAGCGCTTCAGCTTACGGTAAACTAAACACACCTATTATTTACAACAGTGAAAATGAAAGGCGATGCCCAGGTCCCGGCCTTCCGCAGGGGGCGCCGCTCCCGCTGCGGGACGGAAGGCACGAGGGAGCGAGGGTGCGCGGGCGCGTCCGGGCGCAGGAGGCGGTGCAGGAGCGCGCAGGGCAGCAGGAGCAGCAGGCTGGGCGCGCCCCCGGCGCCGCGCACTGGAGCGTGGGAGGCCAGGAAGTCTTTCGGGTCTGGAAAAAAAGACAAACCGGAGATGTATGAATACAGTGTTGCGGCTCGGTTTGAGGGCGTGCAGTAGAAACGCCTGCGCCCCGCCTTCTGCAGGCCCTTTCATCCTAAGCCCTCACTAGGCTCCGCCCCTGGGCCACGCTGTAGGGCGAGGTGTGCGGAGGCTGGTACCTGCCGGCTGCACGGAGGGTTTCCTCTAAATGTGTGTGGAACTCAGAGCGCTGAAGGAGAATTACAGTACTGTTTTTAAAGGGGAACGACGAACAGCCCTTCCGTCTTTCTCATTTGGCCTATGACCTTTCAGGGAGTCCCGCTCCAGGTCATTGAGCGATTGGGCAAATAGACCCGATTTAAAACAGTGCTGTAGTATATAAATCAGCTCACCTCCGTCTGCTGCAACAAAGGTTCCACTTTTCCCCAAATGAGTGCTCGAAATATTTCTTTGACGAGGGACAGCTGATGGAGCAGGAGGGTGCAGCCACTCAAAGTCTGGTTGCTGTTCTGAGGAGGCCTAGCCCTGTGAGTGCCCTCGCGCCCGATGGGACTCACCCGCTGCTCCCCTTGTCCACATCGCTGGTCACAGGAGGCCATGCCTGAACGCCTAGTCCCTGTCTCCCCTCCCCACCCCTCACGGCAGGCCTCATTCATGCTGAACCCCGAGGGTCCCTGAGCCTTAGTCTCTATGTAGCTGGGACCCCAGTCCAGAACAGTGGAATGGGAATCTCTGGAGTGGTGGGGCTGGGCAGGGTCTTGGCTAATGCCCTGGGTGGTGATTGCCATGTGAAGTGGACAACCTTGCAGGCATGGCAGCCAACACCACTAGAACATTCTCACAAGTGAGTTCAGGCCTGGCTTGGAGTGGGGTCAGGCTGGTGGAAGAGCATGGCCAACTACAGGGACCCTCTCCCTGGGGCAACTGAACAAAGGCCAGCCACCTCCCCACCCGCCGACCAGGTCTGCCCCACCCTCTACTATACCTCCAGGAGATGCCCTCTGGACTTGGGAACCTGGCATGAGTATGAAACTGGAAATTAACAAGGAATGATGCAGACCAGCGCCTGCAGCAAGAACCACTCTACACCTGTCCACAGGTAGGCTGTGGTGGCATTGGCCAGGTCAGGCTCACTCCAGGCTTGGGTGCCACCTCCCCATAGCACCCCACCTTGGGAGAGAGGGTTGTTCCAGGGGTGCCGGAATCCCCAAACAGGAATACTAACATCTAGGTTCAGATGAGGCTCCAGAGAAGCTGATGCTAAGACAGGCGCTCACAGCATGTGAAGCTATTCAGGTGGGAGAGGTGTCAGCAGTACTGGGTCTGTGCTGGCCTTCCTCTGATAGAAGGAAACAGGAGGGCTGGACACAGGGTGCATGCTTACAGACTCAGAGCCAGCTGGACCTGCGAGAGCCATTCCAATGGCATCCCAGAGGTCTGTAGACTGGGTCTGGCCCACGGATGTTTGTTTGCTTGTTAGTTGATTGGTTGGTGGGTTTTTGCCAGAATTGCATTTTTAAAAATTAGTTTGCAGCAGTGAGGTGAGTCCTGACCTGGCCCTGTCTCACTTCTGTGTTACCTGCCCATCTCTGAAGACACCTGACTTGGCTACATCACCGTGTCATCGTGTAGACTCTAAATTTTAGAGTCTATGGAATTAAATTGTCTCTTGATACTTGTGAAAACTGATACTTGATGCTGTAGGGCCACAGTAGAAAGAGCCACCCCCTCAGACTAACAAGGAGATCCTGGCTAGCTCAGGACTGGGGAAAGGTCCCTGCTAGATGGAAGCTTTTCATTCTTGGAACCACAGAGCATCAGACAGAGCAATGAGTGCTCTTGGAGATCCCCAGAGAGAGAGTCCCTGCACGAGCCAGGGGGCCACGTTTTGTAGCAACATTCTATCTTCCACATATTCTTCGAAACCATCCTAATCTCGCATTAAAGGATTTAAAACATTTACTTACCTATTACTGTGCTGTTGGCTTTGGACCATGACCAAACTTTCTATATTCTATACAACACTATAAAAAATATCTTCATGTGTTTCATATTTATTCTTTCTTTTCTTTTTAAGAGAGAGGATCTTGCTCTGTCACCCAGGTTGGAGTGCAGTCATAGTTCACTGTAACCTCACACTCCTAGGCTCAAGTGATCCTTCTGCCTCTCAGCCTCCCAAGTAGTTGGGACCACAGGTGCTCGTCACCACACCTGGCTAATTTTAAAAATTTTTTGTAGAGACAGGTCTTGCTATATCGCCCAGGCTGTTCTCAAACTCCTGGCCTCAAGCAATCCTCCCACCTAAGCCTCCCAGAGTTCTGGGATTATAGGCATGAGCCATTGTACCCAGTCATATTGATAATTACTCTTATAGAAAGAGTACAAGAATGGGCCAGGCATGGTGGCTCATGCCTGTAATCCCAGCACTTTGGGAGGCCGAGGTGGGTGGATCACGAGGTAAGGAGATCAAAACCATCCTGGCTAAGATGGTTAAACCCCGTCTCTACTAAAAATTAAAAAAATTAAAAAATTAACCAGGTGTGGTGGCAGGCACGTGTAGTCCCAGCTACTCAGGAAGCTGAGGCAGAATGGTGTGAACCCCGGAGGCGGAGCTTGTGGTGAGCCGAGATCGTGCCACTGCACTCTAGCCTGGGCGACAGAGCGAGACTCCATCAAAAAAAAAAAAAAAAAAAAAAAGTACAAGAATGGCACAAGGTTAAGAATCAGAATTAGACCCTTTTTACTATCTGTAGGAGTTGATCTGTCTGTGTCTCAGCTTCCCCAAATGTAAAAGGTGTACCTACTTCATTGGCTTTCGTAAGAGTTAAATGGGATAATGGGTATATAAAGTGCCTGAAATACACTGAGATCTCCTCTCCTGCTGTAACACCCAGAAGAGCTTGCCCTACTGCAATGGCACCTGCCACGGAGGATGTTCCATCTATCATCGCCCTTGTGAACTTGAAGTCATCATAACCACCATCTGCACAGCCATCACAAGCATCACTGTAACTTGCCTTGAAGCAGGATGAATGGGTAAAAGAACACAAAGGTGTTACTACCCTCTCTGCACCTGACAGATGACTCTGAAGGATGACTGTCCTATTTCGTCCAGCTTTGATGAACAGAGGCCACATTTTCAGAGCCATTATCACTGTCCTTGGTAAATAGCAGTCTCAGCACTGGATGTTTCCAAGAATGTAAAATCGTGACCAGATATCCTGGAAGTCATCACAGCTAGTCCATTCCCCACGTTCCAACCTGGGCGGTCTAATGGCAGGTGGGAACTGACTTCATCTATGAGGACCACACAAGCACCCGCTGTGATTCTGATGCCTGTCCGTGAAATCTGTGTCTTCCTTTCTCTGGGGCCTAGAGGAGCAGCTGGTGACTCAGAGGCAGAGGCCCAGCAAAAGGAGCACACATATAAGAGGGGGTGCTTTGGGAAAATGTGGGAAGTGGGGTTAGGGGCTGTGCCTGTATTAAGAGTGTTCCTTGACTGCTGGTCCTACCAGGGAGAGAAGAGAGGCCAGGAAGGTGGAGAGCTAAGCATGCATTAAGTGTCCTCCACTGCAGGCCTCCAAGAGCAAGAGGGAAGCTGAGGGAGCCGGGTTGAAGATCTTTGGCCACTGGTACTGCCCTCCACACAGCCCTAGCAGGATGGCCTGAGGACGACAAGTGGGAAGTGGGGTTGCAGGGCTGTGCCCTTTGACAGATGGAGGTTCCCAGGGCTGACTGAAGTGGAGGGAGGGGGCAGGAGAGTGGCTCAGGGGCCTTGGCCTCATCAGGCATGCCCCTGGACACTGCACCACCAGACCACTCAGGCCTGGGAGAGGGCAGAGCCAGGGTTGGGGCCGAGAGGCTGGGCCTTCACTGGCTGTGCCCTCCATTGCTAGTGCCAGCCAGTGCTCGCCAAAGAGGAGAGGCTAGAAGGCACAGGATTCCAGAGAGAAATGCCGTGCTGCCAATGCCATGCTGCCTGTGCCCCTGCTGGTCCCACAGCTGAGCAGATGGTGCTGGCCTAGTGCAGAGAAACCACCTGAGATTTACACAGCTAACTTGTCTCCCAGATTCCTCTTCGATTACCAGTTGGTCATCTCCTGAAATTCCGCTCACTGAAACGGACACGTGAGGACACTGGAAATCATTTTTAAACTCAGCAATCTGGATATGAGCAACTTCAAACCAAAATTTAATTCACTATATGATTCCCAATGAATGCGATTTTCTTCAATGATGAATCCATCTAGTTTGCTGAATGCTATGTAGCCTGGCAATGGAAGATGCACTGTGGATCGGTATGGAGGGTGAGCTGCCGTGAAGGCACAGCAGTGTGTGGTGTGGTGGTGAGCTGGGGACCGAATTGCAGGGCCTCTTACCACAGCTGCCAGGCGTCTGGAGGGGAAGGCAGTGCAGGGTCCCGAAGACGCACCTGCAGAGGTGGCAGCCGCGGAGGGTCCAGGCTCCATGCTCCAGGGCACCGCATTCACTGAGAAGACCCGGACCTGCGTCAATGCGGTGGCCTGCGTGCCCCTCGCCCGGCGCCC